GAAGCCTGCGGAACCCTCAATCTGTCAGTGCCTCGCCAATGGTGCTGTGATGAATGATGAGATCCCTTGAGTCTGGGCACACCAGCAGAGCCAATGCCTTCAACCCAGGCATGACACGTGGGGTCTGTTGGAAGGAGCTCTTGTTGTCAAACCACAGCAGTGTCCCGATGCTGCCCTTGCTGTGACTAGAGGATTTCAGGGCTGCAGATAAAGCCCCTTTCACCAGCATTAAATAAAGGGCATTGGCTGGGTTTATTCTCTGGGTGCTTCTGTGGGGAACGAAAGCCCCAGTGGCGACTGGCAAGGCGTGCTCATTTCAAAACAGATCTCGCTCCTAGTTGATCGTCCTTCCTCCAGGAGGGGGGATTCTGCTTATATCCTCTTCTAATGCTGCATGTGATCTTCTATACCTGCTGCCGGATCAAGCTGGAGCACTGCGTGGTGAGAACTGTCATCACCTCGGGCTGCACCTCCTTAGGAAAGATGAGGGCAGCTATCACTTGGCTCCCTCTTCTGCATATTAGGTGTGGGCCTCCAGCTGCCAGCATGGCGCTCGGCTGGGCAAGGTTTGGGTGCCCCCATCTCTTACGACATCGGTTGGTGCTGCTGGAGTCAGACCCTGAAGGGCGCCTCATTGATCACCCAGCAAGGTGATATGTTTTATAGGAGGGGCCGTGGGCTACCGTCCCTTACGATAGTCCCCAAAGTGGGAATGGAGAACAGAGAGTTCCTGTCAGTATCGTTGCCTTTCTTTAGTACTTTTGTAACGTTTCTCTCGCTTTTCTTTTTCAATCAATAGAAGAATAAAGTTAAACTTGAACAGCTCATATGTTCCCTCCTGTTGTTGAGCTCGGCTCTTTGGTATTTAAGGCCTGGGTATGCTTACAGAGGGGTTGGAGAAGGATATAATTGCTGAGGTAGTGCTGCCTTCTCCAAATATTCCGCAATTATGAGTCACACTCCGCCCAGCCAACTAATCAGGAGATTGACTTAAAAACTGAATATATTCATGGGGCGGGGGTTATCTGCTTTTGGTTTCTGAGCCTGAAGGGTGTTTTGGGGTAATGTTCTCAAGCTTGTCTTAAAGACAAACATCCAATATGGTGATTCTTGACATGGTATCAATCAAATACAGTTACAATAATCAAATAAATAGCTTGCATGTATACAGCTTCTTTCAGTCCTGTGGATTCCCAAGTACAGTACCTTGTACCCAGGGTTCATGTCATGCTGAAATGGGGGTAGGAGCTTGATGTGTGAACAAAGCACTTTCTAGCTCTAACTGGCTCAGCATAGCTTCTTGTTGGCTCCCCCGATTCCTGAGTTCACACAGCTTCAGAGTGAGCCCTTCCTCTGTCGCACACAGCTGAGGGGGAAGAAGGGTTGCTTGTGGTCGAGTAGCAGGGCAGCGCCTGTAACTTCTTTTCCTAGCCCTCGCCCCTGCTACTGGTGTATCTGGCTGGAGACATGCAGGTGTTTCCCCTTAGAGCAAAAAGCAGACTGCTGAGCTTTTGCCTGGGAAACAACTGATGCTGTGGCCCAGAAACACACCTTCTGCTGCTTCCCCATCCTTGGGGAGGCAGCTGGGGACAGGGGAGCCAGTGTCTCACTGATCTTGGTGGGGTGACTCGATATCTAAAAACAATTAGTGGTCCTGTGGCACCTTAGAAACTAACAAATACAGATATATATGGTATCATGAGCTTTTTTTTGGCAAAATCCACTTCTGATGTGCTCATCTGATGAAGTGGGTTTTGCCCATGAAAGCTCATGATACCATATATTTGTTAGACTCCAAGATTCCACAGGACCACTTGTTGTTTTTAAAGTTACAGACTAACACGGCTACCCCCTGAGACTTTTTACCATGAACATCTGTGACACAAGAGGCAAATGAGGCCCAGGGCATTGTAAAACTGGGCTGTTGTATGGATCTGACCAGAAATCATATTAACTTTATCTGGCCGCATTTCCAGGGCAGAGCTTGAGGTAAACAGCTGAGCTTTTGGATGCTTTTCCAAATCACCACGCCTTTTGAATTTCATCTATCTCTACGGAAACCTATTTACTATCCATCTGACTGCCCAAAGTCCTTCCTAAATACACTGAGCCATGTCCCCAGACCACTTGCTGCTGGGCTTCAGTATAAGTGGTGTGAGTCACACGTGCTGTAGGAATGTCTTTGTCCTCATCGACACCTGAGGAAACGTGGGGTGTTTGAAAACCTGATCTAAATGCCAGCTCATGTTCCAGCCCAGTGCTCTTGCTCAGAACCCACCCATAGGCATCTTCACATCTAAAACAGGAGTAAAGCTTCAAAGCCAGGGATTTACTGCAGTCTGTAGCCTGGGGCAGTGAAAGCAACAGCAGGCCCCATACAACTAATTGAAACGCAATCATGCCATCCTAGAGGTCTGTCACCTCTGGCCTGCTTGCTGGCGTTTAGGCATTGGCTACACTTGCCTTGTGTGCTGCAAGTTTTCAGTTGGGGAGTGGGTTTAGGGCTGTTGTGTATGTGACCTTGAGCAATGGGCTTATAATTATTGGGGTCACTCACTACTCCAAACTCCTAACATGCCAGCCACATGCCCAGTATACCTTGTCTTGGGAGCAAGAGCTATAGGTGCTTCAGTAGCTAGGCCTTGAAGGGGCTAGGCGTGGTGGGTCCCAGTAATCACTCAGACACATGGCTGGCGAAAGGGCATCTTACTAGAGCTGGCAGGAAAGGAAAAGGTTGCAGCTGTCTTAGATACAGAGGCTTAAACAGGAACAGTGCAAAGTGTGCAACAGCAGTTCCTGTTCAGGTCTCTGGGGAAGCCCAGTTGAGTCAGGGCTGTTTAGGCCTGATGCTTGGGGTGCCTTCTCCAGGCTAATTTTTATTCCAGCCAATAGGAGCATGCAGATTTCCAGGCTAGGCTCAGTTAATGTCACTCATTGAGTCTCCTCTGCACTGGCTCCCCGCCCAGCTGCTGCTGCTCCCCCATAAGCTTCCCACAGATTTGCACTCAGCTGAAGCTGCTGGACTTCACAGCCTTTTCCATACATGGTCCTGTCCACAAGTCTGGGGCTTCTTGCCAACACTGTACTGGCACGTGACTCCTGTCCCCTACACATGGTCATTTCCTGGGCAGGAGCTTTAAGAACATAAGAATTACCATTCTGGGTCAGACCAAAGGTCCCTCTAGCCCAGTATCCTGTCTTCTGACAGTGGGCAATGCAACATGCTCTAGAGGAAAAACAGAAGAGGCAATCATCAAGTGATTCCTCCCCTGTCACCCGTGCCCTGAGTGTGGCAAAACTGAGGCTAGAGACATAACCCCTGCCCATCCTGGCTAATAGCCATTGATGGACCTATCCTCCATTAGTTTCATCTCATTCTTTTTTTAACCTTGTTAAAGTTTTGGCCTTCAACAACATCCTCTGGCAAAGAGTTTGATAAGTTGAATGTGCGTTGTGTGAAGAAGTAGTTCCTTTTGTTTGTTTTAAGCCTGCTGCCTATTCATTTCATTGGGTGACCCCTAGTTCTAACGTTTTGTGGAGTAAATAACTTTTTCTTAATTACTTTCTCCATATCCATGATTATTTCATAGACCTCTCGCATATTCCCCCTTAATCATCTCTTTTCCAAGCTGAAAAGTCCCAGTCTTATTAATTTTGACTTAGATAGAAGCTGTTCCATACCCCTAATCATTTTTGTTGCCTTTTTCTGAACATTTTCCAATTCCAATATAGCTTTTTGAGATGGGGTGACTCCATCTGTTCACAGTATTCAGCATGTGGGTGTACCATGGATTTATATATACAGGCACTATGACATTTTCCCTTAGAAGTCTGGGGAAGGGGAAGTGCAGTGGAGATGGGAAACATAGTTCTTTAGCCTGGAGGCAGGCATTGTAGAGTGGGGAGGGAGCTGATGGGCGTTGAGGTGGATCCATCACAGTTGGATCATAGGTGCAGGAAGGGAGGGAGGTGATGTGTATGTAGGGTACATGGAAGATGTGTATTTGCGAATGGCGTAGTTGTAGAGGGAGGTGTATGCATATTATAGGCTATGCATACATGTATTAGGTCTATTTGTAGGAACGGGAGAAGGCAACATTTCTGGAATGGGATCCTATAGAAGTTCAGTAACTTGCAC